AGCAGTCCATGTGACTTCATGGCTGGCAGCAGGGAACTGATTTCATTTCCTGTGTGGGGGTAGTGTGAGATGGGACACAATGAAGGGGTCTGCTGGTGCTAGCTGCTGCACATTTAGCAGTTAGCTGTTAACACACTGGGAGACATGCTCCAGGGGGCTGGCCTGCAATTCTAAAGAAGAAAAACAGGAGGTAAGCCTCCAAAGAGAATGTTTTGGCTCTAACCTAAGGCACCTCAGCAACAACAGATTGAAGCCAAGCAGATTTGTTGGATGATTTGCTGTCCACAAACAACCATGGAACATCTCAGCTTCCTAGTCACATCTTGAGATGTTGTATATGCCTTAAAGCAGGCTGCCCCAATTATGCCCAGATGAGTGTTGCAACAGAACTCAGCAGGGCACACAGTTTGCTAGTAATTGCTGCAGCTGCCCTCCTCTTTGGCTTGTAGAGACTCCAAACATTTAATTGTAAACCACCTGAATCCAAGATGGATTGGTTCAGAGCACACATAGGCTTGGATCACATCACTGGCTATAACTCCATTTCAGAATTTGTTGTAGACTGTCTTTGGCCCATGAGCAACACTCTGGTCAAAGCTGCCTACAAAAACAATAAAACGAGCCTTTAACCACCGATGCGTTAAGCAAAGCTAAATGCACTGCAAGTCGATGTCGTCACTCTCAGGCTAAAATGTCCTTTTATCTTTAGTAGAATATGAAATCAGAAGAAAACAGCGTGAAATATGAACTGCATTCCTAAAGAAACGTACACTTCTCCACCTCCAGTTTGTTGCTCCTTAAAGGTATGCATCATCATAATAGCTATTTTTTGTTAGCTTCCTCTTTGCCCATTATACTCTCACCCCAACAGCAAAAAATACGTTACCCCATGCTCATGTCTGAGCAAACATCCACTGAAAATCTTTTCTTCATAGTGTTTGCACTAATATTCCTTTTTTTTTTTTACCAATAATCTCTGCAATTCTCCCAGCCGTCTTCCTCCCCCAGCATCATGTTAACACCACACAAAACACACTTGCAGTAGCACATTAGTTCACTGATGTGTTTCAATGTATTTTTAACAGAGCAGTCTGCTTTTCCCTTCCCCCTAGTCCTTGGGAGAAATGATTCAATTTTTTTTTTGCAAAATATATGGAATAACTATTTGAAAAAATGTGACACAAATGTGAACAATTTTAAAGCAATTCAAAGGAGTAGAAAATACCACATAAACTGTGCAGTCAACATCTAGCAGGGAAAGAGGAATTAAGAGTCACCAAATCTCAAAGTCAGTATTTTTTACAAGACATATATCATTTATTTTTAAACACTGGTATTCCATATTCCACATCAAATTCACAGAGAAATAAAGCACCCAGGTCCATGCTACAAACTCAGCCTGGTATATCAATTCCAACAAGGGTATAATTTCCAATCAGCACAGCTATGGCAGCAAAAACTGCTGTTGCAGACACAGATATAGCAGCAAAATTGCACCTTTGCTGTTAGAACTTATGTCCTGCAGGGACTGGGTGAAGGAAACTAAAGAGCAAAAATACTGTTTTGCCAGTGTAAGCTGTATCCATATTAGGGTCACGAGCAGATGTTCTCTTCAAAGCATGCTGAGTGCCTGTGGAGCGCTACAGCTAGGGAGGGTGCTGATGTAGCACCTCCTGAAATAGGTGCACCCTCCACCAGAGTGCTCAGTCCTCTGGCATCCCACAGTGCTCTGCTCCCCAAATCTTGAGGGAGAGGGCAGGGGGACAAGGAGAGCAGACAGCCAATTAGTACTCTCCTGTGCAATCAAACTGTGATACCAGTTGTCCTTGGAAACCTCCAGAGGCTAAGAGGCATACAGGGATTCATGCTCTCCAGCTCTCTGGCTGCAGGCTTGTGTGTGTACGTGCGCGCACATGTGTTGGGTGGTGGGAGAGTAATGCTCTGAAAGTGCTCTGAATTTGAAATGCGCCAATACAAGTGGGTTTGGAGCACTACCAGTGCTTTACAAAGTTATACTGATAAGTATGTTAATGAAAGCCTTCCATGTCTACACCTGGCCTAGTTTTTGCTTTGTCTGCAGATGCAAGTGAAAAGGAGAGTTTTTATCTTGTTTCTTTGATACAATGCTCCCAGTGTACTCAAGTGTCTGAGAAAATATTCTTTGGGCAATAACAGACAATTTGGCTGCTAGATTGGGTTCAGCTCCCACTTGGGGACCTTTCCTACCTGGAATTGTTGGGGGGGAGGGAGGGTGTCTTGTGGAAGTCCAGCAAATGACAGTGCAGCGGCACTCGGGAGGGGAGAGGAGGGAGGGATAAGAGGCACAAATGCAGCAGCACTTGGGGATAAGAGGCACAAATCCTGTACAGAGGAATATGTGGACCACCTGAGAGGTATAGGAACTAGCTCAATTGCCAGAGAGCTCACCTTCCTTTTGAAACTCTCAGCACGATGTGGCCTCCATGAACCATGCTGTCCTGCATCCGTAGGACATGCTGTCCTGCTGCCACAGTCAGTGAGGAGGCTGATGAGAAAGGGCAAGGCACAGTTGGCTCGGTTGCTGAAGGAATTCTTTCTTGAATAGCTGCCAGAGGAGAGAGGGTTGCACTGATAATGTGCATAGTAAACACGTGTGCATTCCTCACACAAGAAAAGAAGAAAAACTAGGAGAAGTACTGTTTTGTATTATAAATGCTCCTCCTGAGGATGGGACATACAACACCTTATATAGCTAGGTTCCTGGTCCAAATCAAAGCGAGGTCATCAGTCATCAAAATCAGTTCAGGGGCCTGAGTCAGTGAAAAAGCATCTCTCTCCCTTGCAGAAAACATCACCACTAGCTGTTGGCATTTTCCACAGAGAAGGCAAAGATAGGCACCAAGAATGCACTCTTTTGTCACACTAGCTCACTGGATTCTCCAAGTCATGGCTGTGCAATGCTGGCAGCTTACACCATTGCTACTTGCATACTACATGGTTTATGGATAAATGACTATTCATATACTCTTAATTCACACAAACTGACATTTTCAGTGGACAGAATAAATACCAGACAGGGGTGTCAGGCACAAAAGCAGGCCAATTCTGGACTTTGTACAAAACCTGTAACATTATTAAAGGCTTATATACAACTGGCTAGTGAATGAACAACACTTACATTTTAATAATTTTTTAGTACAAATAAGGCCTGTGACCATTTCATTTACAAAAATAAATCCAAGTATCGGCAGAAAATAGACATTTGTGCTTTTGGTTGGCTCCTTTGCTGGTCATTTTGTTTTCTTTAAGAGGAAGTTTGCAACAGCAACATAAATTGTGGAAACGGCATGCTATGTTGAGAAGAATTTTCTACCTCTACCAGAAAACAGCAATAAGCTTCAGCTATTTTTATTTCATTAGTTTAATATTTGTAGCCCTATCTTCTTGCCAACTTCTTTTAGCAGAGAGTAAGAAAATAAAAGCACATAAAACAGAAACAAACATGATACAGAGGCAAAGAATGACAAAATGTATAAAGGCTTGCTCCTTAGGGGAAAAAGGGATTATTATATATAGAATTATTATTCTATATAATAAAAAGGGATTATTATATATACAGTTATTATTCTATGTAAGGAGAGTGATCACAAAAACGGAGGCTAGGCATTTAGGCACAGATTAGTGCAAACAAAAAAATAAGAAACAGCTCAAATGATGCTGCTCTTCCCATGTTTCCCTTGGCCTCCTGGTTAATTGGAGCCAAAGAGCCTGCACAAGGCCCTTTATGCCTGTCCCTCATCAAGTGAACTTTATTTAGACCTTCTGCCCTGGGCCTGGACCCTAGTCAGCCTGCCTAAATGGGTTTGATTTAGAAAACAAGAGCTGTGGTGGAGGTGAGCTGCACCCACAGACAAGGGGAGGTTCTGTCTCTGCTACATACTTCCCCTGAGATGGTTTCTAGTTCCTGAAAGCATAGACCTGGCTGAGCAGTTGAGTCATCAACACTGTCTGCATGTTGAAGAAATAGATAATGATACTTATAACTCCAAAGACAGAAATTCCTGGATAACTCAGTTTCCCCTTCCCATGGGTTAATTCTGCATAAGTGTGAATGAAGTCCAGTATGCAAATACAAATTGACAAGAAGGAAAACAGGAAACTTGGCTCACCTTTAAATATGTGTTCTTGGATATCTATTTTCCTGTACTGTGGGATACTAAAAAGAAGTTTCTAAGCTTACTGATTTGGCCATTTTAAAATGTAAACATTGAAACAGGTCTTTGGTCATCTAAAAAACCCAGTTTACTTCTGAGGTTAAAAGGGAGTGTTCACAGTGAATCCTCCAAGAATAAGTTCTTTAAGATCTTTTTCTAGTCTTGACTAAGATAATGCAAAAAAATCTCAGTGACCATGAAATGAAGAGGTAGAAGAGGATTTCAGGCAGATTTCCCAGGCACAGCTTTGGTGTGTAGCAGTTGTTTTGTTAAAGGTTAATAGAGAAGAAAGATTTCCCTTTTGTAAAAGGATGGAAGAAATTAGAATTAATTTTTTCCACCTTTAAGATTATACAGATCCTAATGAAGAAGTGTAAACTCTCCAGATGAGGTTTTATTATTCTTATTGCAACTAGTTGGGAGCAAGAGAGCAGTTCAAAAGGACAGAAATAGCATTTCTTCGTAAAGCTCAAGAAATTCAGTTTCTCCATTATAAATTATTTTGGTGCCAGCTTCTTTGGTCCAAATACTGTTTGTTCCTTCCTTTGCACAAGTTTTTCAAGTAGATCTTCACACACTTTTGGAATACAGTCCAGTTGCAACAATATCCACTCTCTTTACTCAGTGGTTGGCTCTTTTCTTTGGTTTCACCTTTAGCAAGGCACAGACATCCTGCAGTGGTGAAAGTCACACAGCTGCATCTTTAAAAGGAAGCTAGTGTCAGTTGGGTAGCCACAAACAAATTATTTTATTTGATTAAAGGACACACAGGAAACATTCTTTTTGAGGAGGCAAGGAGGAGATCAAGCATTCACTGATTATTATATGCAAGTTATTTTGCTGTTAACAGCTGCCAGTAACTGCTAACACATTTCAGTATTCACTGAATTCATTAAATTACCATCTCTCAATAGATGGAGTAATAGGGTACAGAATGTTAATAAATCCTTCCATACCAACTCTGCCATGGAAGATATAAATATAAATTTTGAATAAATTCTCTGCTTCATATTAACATGAGACATTTGACACTTACCTGTTGACTGAGTAACACAAGAGACCTTGTAAGATGACCACATGCTCAATATGCAAAGGAATGTAGCTAGGAAACCGAAGACCTGTTAAAAAATGGTGCATTTAAAAACCGTTTTAGGGAATCTATGCAGTAGAGAGTCCCATATATTAAAATCCCATTATTGTTGCATAACGGTGTTAACTGAGAGGCGGAACGCTCCTACCAGAGGAAAATGTGCTTGTGTGAGGCCCATGTGTGATGTGCCCTAACCAGCCATTTGAACTATTCAAATCTCAAAATTAGGGCTTAGGAATGTTTTCAATGGGACACAGATCCTGTGCAAGAACCTTTTACACAAATGAAGATTCCTTCCTGCAGCCATGGAAACATTCTTATTTTTAGATGCTAAAGTTGGAATTCATATTAGGGGTGTGTGAAGCAGGCCATATTCGATTCAGATTCAGTCTGAATCGGGGACAGCGATTCAATCTGATTCGGATCACTGTCCCCAATTCGATTCAGCCGAATCTGAGTCTGAAGATTTGATGCGAATTCAGAGAATCAGAGATTCGGCCACAGACACAGCTTTAAATGTTGGTTTTTTTTTTTTTACATACCTTGAGGTACCAGGCATGGATCGTGAACGCTGTGATGCTGGGACAGATGGAGCATCCCACAGAAGCATGGGGGGGGGGCCCCCCACATGCTCAACGGTGAACCTGGAAGTGGACCGGAAGTACTTTCGGTCCACCAGGGAGCATGCTCCGACTGGCTCGGTGACTGGCCATGGGGGAACCCCGGGCACCGCCCCAGACCCAGGAGGCACAAGTTGCCAAGCTGGGGGGGCAGGGCCCCCCCATACGCTCCCTGGTGGACCTGCAAGTGGACCGGAAGTGCTTCTGGTCCACTTCCGGGTCTGCTGCCAAGTGCACTGAGGACCCTACCATGTTCCTGTGGGACACTCCATCCACCCCAGCATTGCAGCATTCACGAGCCACCTGGTACCTTGAGGTATGTAGAAAACCATTTAAAGCTGTGTCTATGTCCGAATTGCTGAATCTTTCAGAATCTTTCTGAATCGATTTGGAGGGTTCTGATTCGATTCAGAGAGATTAAAGGGTCTCCTGATTCAATTTGGAGATTTGGCCACTGAATTGGGCTGAATCTCCACCGAACTGAGTCAAGGACTGAGGTTTCGCACAGCCCTAATTCATATATTTCTATGTAGAGTTATGACTCTATTTAACACACGTCTACTTGCTGAAAGCAGGAACATATTATACCCTGTACTCTTAACACTATATAATAGATTGTAGTTACAAAAACATGACTATATCTTTGACTTGTACGTCACTCACTTCAGTGGAGCTGTGCTGATTTACAGCACCTGGAGATTCATCTCAGTTTAGAACTCAATTCTGACAGGGTAAAGTACACTGGATTCCTATGAACTCCATACATACAGAATGGAGCCCAAAGCATAGGAGCATTCACAAAACATTTAGCACAAACAGAATCAACAATATTAGTTAAGGTCCTCCCCCTCAAGCCTCAGTTCTATGACTGCAGGGACTTCCAGTTTCTATCAACAGAACAAAGAGCACAAAAATAACCTTCCAATAATTCACAGCAAGTGTTGACTTAGTTCATAGTTTGACAAAGAATCATCTGTTACTAAATAAGTCTATCCCAGGTACTTGCTGCCCAGAGAAGTTTTTACCCATTCATTTCTACAGATCACAAATTAAATTTCCAAAAGGCCACACTCTTCAAGAAGTAACATTAACAATTTTCCCTTTTAGGAATTATTGATATATTGATCCAATACAGTAAAAGGGAATACCATAATTCTGAATGTGATATAAAAGATCTTGACTCCCTCCAATTATTAAATTAATATACTGCTTTTCCCAAAAGGAGAAGGCCCTTTTGTCCTGACCCCCTATTCATGTCAGAAGGCTGTTTGTGGTCCTCTCTCTCTCTCTCTCTCTCATCTTCCTTTGCATCTTATCTTGAACTTCTTAGGATGTGGCAGCTCCTTAACAACCCGCACCATCAACACATGATGTTGGCTGTTAAGGAGCTTGCTACATTCTACCACAAAGGGAGATGCATTTCAATATTGAACAAATCTGACACAGGTCTGACCATATTCATGACCATTACAATTTGCCTTGACTAAGGTGGGGCAGAGGAGGGAATGTACTGCAACTCAGAGTCTCAGTTTCTTCCTTGTGAGCCTTTTCTTTTGAGAAAGAAGGAAATTACTCCTTTTTGTGGAACAGTTTACTTTTCCCCTCTATGCTCAGCCACCAGCTCTGAACTAAGAGTGAAGAAATAACAACAAGGACCTTCTGATCCCCTATACCTCCCTCCCCACCTCCTTGCTGACTGTGGGGTCCAGTGGATAAGCACCTTCTCTACATTCTGCGACTGAAGCCACAATCTGAACATGGCAGAGCGGAGGAAATACTGGTTTCCTCCAAAGTCCCCAGCATGGGCCAGACAGACCTGTAATAATATAGCATAAAATCCTTTGGGATGGTGAATATTAATGTGAGATTACACGGGAAGTTTTATATGGGCCCCATCACTGTAGAAACAGAGTGCTTCTCTGTTCCAGGAGAGGGTTCAGAGTTGTGAATCCCACATGGAGGAAGACTCCTTTCTGCAGCCTACAGTAAAGAACTTAAATCCCACAGAAGTATGTGGGTTTAAGACAAACAAACCCATCTCCTCAGACTTTCCTAATGTCCAGCTTAGTTGGCTCCTCACTCACAGTGCTTAATTTTTTAGTTATCGTTCTACATGTCTAGTTTAGGATTAGAGATTTTCTCATGATGGCCAGCACCTACAAGTCAGGCGTTGAAGAACTAAGTCTTGTACTATTTAAGGAGTTCTGTGGATTTAGTTCTGAAAATGGAAAGGCCTGTGAGGAGGTACAGCAAGGCAGCTGCAACGCATAGGACTGTGCCAGCTGCCGCAGTGCCAGTTGTGCCCTCCCACAAAGGCAGCACTCAGGGCTTTCCCCCTCCATTATGCTATTGGGTCTGTAGTCATTCTTTATTTCAGCAGAACTGAGTTTCCTCAATCTAAGTTCCACTGCTGATAAAGTCTTGTTTTACACATTCATGGACTTCCTCAAATTAACCATATAGGGAAGTCTTGGTTGTAGGGACGGTTAAATATCTCAGATAGCTAGGGTCAACTTCACAGAGAGCTGGGCTCTCTATTCACAAGCATCATGTTTGGGGAGTAAGGCTGCCTCACTGACATGCCGTGACCACCACCATAGGCAGCTGGAATCCTACAGTAATCAATTAGCTTGTGTGTTATTTTAGGGCGGTGATACTCAGGCAGTGGCTCCTAAGCTACAGGAAGCTCTTTAACTGATCACGTGTGTTTTTTCAGAGAAAAATATCATCAGTTTGTTTTTTTCCTCCAAGACATAAGCAAGGAGCAACTGTAAAGAGAATGCTTCAAACAATAAATTCCTGATACACATTACAGAGCAAATAACAGATACAAAGTCTCTGATCTTGTAAACACTGTGATCTAACAAAGTCTTACCGCTCCAGCTACGAGTCCTGATTGATTGTAGCTCTTGGACGCTGCCACAATACATGCAATGAAAAGCAGAACTGTACCAATTAAATAATGCAGAAATTCCTGCAAAGACAAATACAGCGCACTATCAGAAAGGCATTTCAACGTGACTTAGATTCAAAAGTGTGCAAGTCAAGGCAAATGCTGATCACTTGTAAATCAAATAGAAAGAAATACTAAGCAGAGAAATTACCTCAAAACAAATAGTGGAGAAAGGGATTTTTGGACATCTCTTTTGTGACCAAAATTTCAGATCCCTTGCTAAAATGTCAGGATCAGAGCTTCAGCTCCTTTGCAACCTGCGGAGTTACGCTAATTTACACCAGTTTAGGATCTGGATTGTGGACATCAAAAATCCATTCTAAGCAGAATTGTTATGTTACTAGATTTAAAAAAACCTAATTTATAATGAGGTAACAAGACCTATGGTCAAGCCCTATAAGGCAGGTCTCTTCTGTTAACTGACCCTGCTAGTAGGACTTGGATCCCTGCAGAAAGCTACTAAGTCTGGCTGATTCATTCTAACTTGTGCAGCTTGTTAGCTTCACCAGAATATAAAAGGTAAATATGACTGACTAGCCAGGGAAACTATGGGATGAAACAGGAACATCCTGCAGGATATCCTAGAAACACAGTTTCATAGTTGGTAGGGTCAGAAGGGACCTTGACAGATCATCAAGTCTGCCCCCCTGCCATGGCAGGAAAGAGCACTGGGGTCAAACGACCCCAGCAAGGTGATCATCCAGCCTCCTCTTAAAGACCCCCAGGGTAGGAGCCAGCACCACTTCTCTTGGAAGT